TAAGATTTTGTTATCAGCTAACAAAATTTTCCGATGAAAAATGTTGATAGTTTTAACATTTCACAACGTCAGTAACTTCTCATAAGTCTGATTGTAAGCTTCCTATGATTTTGTTTCTGTGAAAGAGGCGTCATGACATTTTCACAATATTTTCAATATGCCAAGGAAACATCGCTATCGACTTCACTCGGTTTATCAATATTTCAATGTCTTCATCAATATCTCACAAAAACCTACAACGTGATACAAAGTTACTAAAAAGTAAAAGCTGACCCGATTTTTCAAACTATTTCTGTTTAAAAGAAACCTAAATCAATAAAACATAAGAAAGTTGTTGCTGATACAACCAAGACATTGAATATATAATTAATATTTTATGCAGTGAAATAAAAAATGAATCTAAGACCATCCTAAATAATTCATAATATATTGATTGATCCGTTTGATGTACTATCGAATTGAAATTCTGTAGCTTTAGTAACACTTATCTATGGCCTCGTGGTTTGAAGTTGGTACTAGTTTCATTATATTTACAACAAATTTGCTTCATTATAAACTATTCTGTCACAATTACGTTAGGAAAGAACTTTGGTTAGAAAGTTCAACACGATTGCGTTTCAATCATACGAGTCATGGCTATAAATATTGGTGTGTTGCAAAGCATCGAAAATGACACAAAAAGCCCATAAAATATATTAGCCATAACTCTAAAATCTTTTATTGTGTGCCATCAAAATTTATTTCATTCAAGCTAAACGATAAACTCCTAATTTTAATATAAATACCAAAGCAGGAAAATTCTTCCGTTAAACTCTGAATTTTCAATACTTTTATTATCTTCTTAACACTGAACAATTAATATTCATCGCGGCAATTAACATGAATTGATGATGCGCAGTCAATAAAGCTTACCTACAAACGTGATTATTCGCTAATATTTATGCTAATGTTCGCTTTTAAAAATTGTTTAATCAACCTCATTGTTTGTCTGGAAAAGCCCAACAAGACCTGGAAGGGTGAAGTTGCTTGTCCGAGCGTGGGAACGGTCGATATTGCCTATGTACTGCGGCCCGCAATGTACACGTCATGCCGCAACTCAATCTCTTCTGCAAAGCCCGCAACAACGCATTCGAGACAACACATCTCATCTGTTCTCCTAGAAATCAAGATCCGTAATGGGCTATTTTCTCGATTCGTCTATTCTTTCTAATTAAAAGCACGGCTGTGTTGTGATATTCTGCTTGGAGCGCTTTGCAGGGTTTAGACATTCTACCATAGTTCATTAATTTTATTTGGAATATTTAGAGACCTGAATTGCAACACGTTATAGAACTTAAAGCTTCAAAATAGCAGTTTCATTGTGATGTTTCTAAATTATAAATATTATTAATTTTCATTACGTTTTGTTTTTACAATCAGCTATATCGGTCTTGACATTGTGAATTTTACAGGATATAGCCGAATAAGGAAGTGAAAAGTGCCCCCAAACAAAATCGGTAATCACGATTCTCATATGAACGAGAATAAGAAACGCCGTAGATTCCCAAAAAAATCATCGTCCTAGTGGAATCTGTTGCAGAGATAAAATGGGAAATGTAATTTTCACGTTTTATTTTTTCAGCTTCTATTGCATGTAAGAAGCTAAAAAAAATGCAGAGATGCGGGAAAATAGATGAATTTGAAAGTATTTTTGTTAACCAATTTTGGCGCTAAATTAAAAAAAATTAATTGATTTTTTTACGTGATAACGTTGGAGTACTGTCTCCGTTGCTTTTTCTAGAATATGTCTGCTAACGTTTTATAACATATTTATTTTTCAAATTTTTAAACAATGTGGACGATAGTGAAGAAAATTAAAATCAATTTTATCAGTTTAAAAATTTGACAATCGTGTCAAAATGGGATTGGAAAAATCTATATAAATTATTTTTCTTAATAATTTACACTTATAAAATATTTTATTCCGTCGGAGCGAATATTTTGTTAATGATCCTTGCAAGAAACGCACATTCTTTTTGTATATAAAATTAAACTAGTATACGGCTTAGGTTACAGGATCACAGAATTATTAAAACGTGCACACAATTCACTTCTCCCTGTAGGTTCGTTTTTAACGGTATTTGATATGAAATAGAAAAATTAAGAAAAAACAAAGTTGATAATGTCAATAATGTCTTTATCCTGTTTCGTGTGCTGAAAAGGAAAACGAAGTTCGTTCTTCTCCACCACGTACAGATTTTTTTTAAACCCTTAAAATATAATTCCTGTACTGTCGCGAATGCAAATATTTATATTTGTAAACAATAGTTTTTTTCCTTAAAAATTCCTTTTAACATTCTAAGCACTTACGTTCTAATAATAGTTTCCCGTAGTAGGTGGGTTGTGGAAGGAGCAAAAATCAAATGGGAAAGACTGTTATTTTTGTAGTTCTGATGTTGAAGGTTACAATACTCCAAAAACCATAAGTTGATTAACTATACTAATCTTGATTCTGCTATTCGCTCCACATGGTTTCGGATTGCCAGTTCTTCATTCCCCCTGGTGACTTGGACAGTTATACAAATAGAAAAGCTTTAGAGATATTGGACGTTCGAAAGAAACTGCTGTTACTTGTCCCCCGGCTTAAAAACAAAACAAAAAAATACAACCAGAAACTTCCTTATCCTGGTCATTACATGGCGAAGCGATTTTTTTTCCATACTTTCACAGGATGAGAAGGTTGTTTATTGTAAAAACATTCGTGGACGGGTGGGTCCATTTGTCAACACGACCAGAATTAGTGCAATATTATCCGAGGCATTGGCATCTGTTCATAGATTCGTCGAAACCAAGTCTTAAAGTTGTTATGTTACACAAGGTCAATACTTGTGCTTCAGTTCCAGTTGGCCATTCGGTATATTTAAAGTGTGACGTAGTGAAATAAGAAATAAATTTCAACAACAAAATAAAAGTAATATATTCAAAGATTATTTACAAGTTACAATAAATTGCTAATATTAAATCACTTCGGCAACCTTTTCCTTTCAGAACACTGCTTTACCGCAGAAAATACAAGCCACGCGTGATGCGCGCTATCGGACCTCGGTCCCGTGACAATTACCGTCACATGGCCTGACGCCAAAATTTAACCCGGTCGTGGCGACCGTGTGCCTACAGCACGTGAGATTGTCTGGCCCTTACTCTCCGGACATCTCGCCCACACTCCTACACTTCCTCGTACACACACGTACAAGCTCCCCGATGCTAACTGAATGAGAATGCGGGCGCAGATGGCGCCGCGTTAAATAGTTGAGGCAGACACCCCCACCACTGTTCCATAGGTAGGCTCGCCGGCTGGCGCGAGACTCGCAGGTTTGGTTAACGCCCACACACAGGATTCTAGGGTTGGCTGCCTGCTTCCGTAAACGAGGCTCGCCGGCAGCATCCTCGGAGTTTACAGCCTCCGGTATTTTTGGCTCTGCGGCACTACCTGAGTCAACCGCCCGAGCGCAAACTCCCGGATGTTCAGGCTCAACCCCTTCCTCCCCCGCAGCGTACTTTCACCGACCTAACGGTTCTGGCCCTCGTGTTAACGACGCCACAAAAGGAAACATACGCCAATTCCATATTCGTTCTCGAACAAATTCGTTATAATGAGCATAAGTGGTTAATTTAGTGAGACTTGAAAGTCCTCACCATGCTCTTTGGTCAGCAATCAGAGTATTTGTTTATTATGCTTATGGAAGAGCAATGACATAAATTCCCTCTGGAACAAAAAAGATTATCCATCACCAGAAGCTGTGTTGGCAAGCGAAAAAATATAATTAGGAAAAGTTTGGTTCCTTCTGAAACAATCTTTCTACTTCCTCTACACATAAAGGTAGATCTGATAAAACAATTTGTTAAGTCTCTCAATAAAGCATGTGAATGTTTCAACTACAAATGCTCTACGTTTCCTGGTTTAAGTGACGCTAAGATTGATTGATTGTAAGTGATTCCGGGTGCGTCAACTACTAGTTTCATAAGTCCCGTAAGCGTAGTGCAGTTTTTTACTCGGGGGGTGGTCTTGCTCGACTGTATAGCGAGATACGGTGCCGAACTACAGTCTTCTAGCGGGATTTTCCTCAACCATTTATCTCCTACCAGAGGGCACTGCCCCAGCCGGGACGAACTCTAAGCTCCCGACCGGTCTCCAGGCATGTGTGGTAGTGTAGTGCATGTTAGTGTGGGTGTGTGTGTAAGGGGTAGGATAGGACAACGACACTCTACAAGTCTACTGTCTTTCAGACACTCTACAAGTCTATTCCGCGACGAATAGCAACGGTTCTAAAAGCAAATGGTAAAAATTAATGTTTTGTAAATATCAGATGTTCGTATTATTTTTTTCTATCAATTGATGTAAATGACTGAAAATGTCATTTCCAACACTGTATTTCGTTTGGTAATCGTTTATTTGGGTACTTGTACACATGTGAACACGTTTCCGAACGCATATAAGTACTGTCTAAAACAACCTGGGACGTTATCGAGATTATTTAAATATAATTTACGACAGTCCAAGTAAGAAGTATAAAAATTAGCTTATTTTAGACCAGGGGTGTCCAAGTTGCAAGGTCTCAAAGGCCCCGACAAAGACTTTTTACATGGTTGCAGGCCTTATCACTACTTGGGCGATTCACATTTGACTTCCATGTATTGTTGATCTCGGCACCTGCTTGTTGCACATTGTTGCTCAGCGGCTCTGAAACGGGAGGAGGGATCATGCGTGATATCAGGCTGTGAAACAATTTGGAATTTTAAATTTCTAAATTCACTAGAAAGAAATCCTTAAGTCTAAACCTAACCTATTTTTACCTTAAAGGGGTTAACCGTGGCAGGGCGCGGGCGCTACAGGCACAATGTTCTCGTTCCACATGGATACAATACATTTTTACAGTTAACTGATTACCTTTCGCGAACCACCATAAATGGCACAGCGTGTCATCAGTTGGACAACCCTGATTTCGACGGTAATGTTTCAGAGAGCTGGACGCCTTCATCTACGACGCAACCGTGCTAGACTACCTCGTGGGCCAGGATTCAGAGTGCGTGCTCCTCACTGTTGGCTCCTGGTTTGCTATGACGGGATACGGCATCGGCTTCCCCCGCCACTCCAAGTACAGAGACCTCATCAACCGACAGCTCATGGAGTACCGGGAAAATGGTGAGTCAGCTCTTGTTGCAGGACGCTTTATTGGAGATTTTTGACGCGCTTTACGTGTTCTGCCTGAAGCAAATTTCAAATTTAGTTTGCAGGACTCTTAACACCGTCACTGTTGTCAAACAGGACACTCACAATCACAAAGAAAAATTACACAATCTTTACATATGCAGCAAAATGAGCCCAGGAGAATAGTCCTGGGCATCAAGTTGCCTAGCCTAGCCTAGCCTAGCCTAAATAATCCTCCCTTAAATATTCCGATGTTTATGCTCATTCATATAAAATATACCCGAAAGTATATATGACACAAACGTAGGTAAAGAATGGTGAAGATCAATAATGCAGGACGACTCAATAGATTATGCATATACAGTGCAACTGATTTACAAAAGGGTAAATAATACAAAAATATAAAATTGAAGTAATTTAGAGATTTTCAGAAAATACGCGGGGACTTGTGATAAAGTTAAAAAAATATTTCTTCGCTCATAATCAAAGAATCCCATTATTTTATTTCTGTTAAAAATGTTGATATTATTTCTATTACAACAGCTTATTTTTCTGGTATTGTAATTTCTCCAATTTTCGAAAATTCAGAGAGTTGAACATAAATTTGTCGTGTGTCTGTTTTAAAAGCTTCCTTTCCTCTATCCGAGGAAACTTCTGCGACATTTGTGAGAAAAAATCAGAAAATTGGATGGTGCCATGTAAAATTCCACCCGTATCCGCCAACAATTAAATCGCCTAAACCGTTCATAGGTTTCTCTCAACATTTTCGAAAAATTGGATCGATCTTCTATATTTATAATTTTACAATCTTAATTTTTGCTGTTTTTGAAAGTACCTTCAGTTGGTCAAAAATGGGAAGAGAACTAGTTTTTGACTATCCTCTTACACATTACCTCTTACCTTTTACACTGGAAGAAAATTGAAAGCAAAAAGGTAGAGCCGTTTTTGAAAAATGTTTTTCTTTATAAATTGCATTGGTTTGAGCTCATTTATTCAAAAAAATATTGCTTGATATTTTTTTAAGATCTAATTTTTAAAACAGATTTCATTTAAGGATAAAATATTTGCCTTCAGTATTGTACTTTAGCGATGTTAATTTTTTGTCATGTTTCCGGGAATGCAAATGACCTCTTAAGTTTATGAGAAGCACTATGAATGTCGTAAAAGAGGTCCTCCATATTTTTACATCACAATATCAATACAATTTCATCTCGGTGTCGGACGACCCTTGACGCTTCAATTTTCCTACTCCGTTCGCACGCTGCTTTCGCTCGTCCCAAGCCCGTCGTAAGCCATCTGCAGCTGGGATCATCGTCAAATGTTTCCCCTCATCGCGGAATCGGAATCACACAATATTTATTTCAATACCAGCTTTACTTCTCTTTCTCTTTCTCTCTTTCTCTCTTTCTCTCTTTCTCTCTTTCTCTCTTTCTCTCTTTTTCTCTTTTTCTCCAAAAACAAGGAAAAGGGAAAAGAAAAAAGATGTGGACGCGCTAAGATTGAATTGAATTGTAAAAGTTGATTCCGGGTGCGTCAACTACTAGGGTCATAAGTCCCGTAAGTGTAGTGCAGGTTTTTTTAACTCGGGGGGGGTGGTCGCTTGCTCGACTGTATAGCGAAGATACGGTGCCGAACTACAGTCTTCTAGGCGGGGTTTTCCTCCAACCATTTATTCTCGCTATCGAGGGCACTGCCACCAGCCGGGACGAACTCTAAGCTCCCGACCGGTCTCAGGCATGTGTGGTAAGTGGCTAGTTCATGTAGTTGTGTGTGTGTTGTGTGTGGTAAGGGGTAGGATAGGAACTAACGACAGACTCTACAAGTCCTACTGTCTTTTTCAGAGCACTCTACAAGTCTATTCCGCGACGAATAGCAACTGTTCTAAAGCAAATGTAATAAAATTAATGTTTTTGGTAAATACGCAAATTTCGTAATTATTTTTTTTTCTATCATTGATGTAAATGACTGAAAAAGTGATTTCAACACTGTAATTTCCGTTTTTGGTAATCGTTTATTTGGGTACTTGTAAACACTGTGAACACGTTTCCGAACGCATATTTAGTACTGTCTAAAACGACCTGGGACGTTATCGAGATTATTAAAATATAATTTAAACGACAGTCCAACGTAAGAAAAGTATTAAAAATTACTAATTTTAGACGCAGGGGTGTCCCAAGGTTGCAAGGTCTCCAAGGCCCGAACACTAAGACTTTCCAACATGGTTGCAGGCCATAATCATCTACTTGGGCGATCCAACTCTTGACTTTCGTGTATTGTTAATTCTCGGCAGCCTGCTTGTTGCAACATTGTTGTTCAGCGCTCTGAAAGGGAGGAGGGAATCATTGAAGTGATATCAGGCTGTGGAAACAAGTTGGAATTTTAAAAATTTCTCAATTCAGTCTAGAGAAATCCTTTTAAGTCTAAACCTAACCTATTTTTACCTTACGGGGAAGTTGACCGTGGCAGGGCGGCGGGCGCTACGGGCACAATGTTCTCGTTTCCACCCATGGATACAAATACATTTTTAACAGTTAACTGATTACCTTTCGCGAACCGCACCAATAAATGGCAAAACAAATCGTGCCATCATTTGGACAACCTGATTTCGACGGTAATGTTTCCAGGAGAGCTGGACGCCTTCATCTTACGACGCAAACCGTGCTAGACTACTCCGTGGGCCAGGATTCAGAGTGCGTGCTCCCAACTGTGGCTCCTGGTTTGCTTAATGACGGGATACGGCATCGGCTTCAACCCGCCCAGCTCCAAGTACAGAGACTTCATCAAACCGACAAGCTCAATGGAGTATACCAGGGAAAAATGGTTGAGTCAGCTTCTTGTTGCAGGACGCTTTATTGAGATTTTTGACGCGCTTTAGTGTTCTGCCTAAAGCAAATTCAAATTTAGTTTTGTAGAACTCTTAACACCGTTCACGTTGTCAACAAGACATCAAAATAACAAAGAAAAATTCACAATCTTCACATATGCAGCCAAAATTAACCCAGGAGAATAGTCTGGGCCCATCATGTTGCCTATCCTAGCCTAGGCCGCTCCTTAATATTCCGATGTTTATGCTTATTCATATAAAATTGCCCGAAAGTATATATGACACAAAACGTACGGTAAGAATGGTGAAGATCAACAATAACAGGCGACTCAATAGATTATGCATATACACTATTACACAGTGCAACTGATTTCATAAAGAGTAAATATATAAAGAAATATAAAATTGAAGTATTTTTAGAGATTTTTCAGAAAATACGGTGACTTGTGATACAGTTAAGAAAAAATATTTCTTCGCACATAATCAAAGAACGCCAGTTATTTTAATTTCTGTTAAAATGTTAATATTACTTTCTAGTGTTCCTAACAACGCTCATTTTTTTTTCTGATATTGTAAATTTCTCCAATTTTCGAAATTCAGACGAGTTGAACAATAAATTAGTCGTGTGTTCGGTTTTTAAAGCCTCCTTTCTCTATCGAGAAACTCCTGCGACAATTTTTTGAGAAACATCAGAAAAATTTGATGGTGCCATGTAAATCCACGCCTATCAATGTCAACAATTTAAATCGCCTAAACCGTTCATAGTTTTTCTCCTTCAACATTTTCGAAAAAATTGGAAAATGAACGTATATCAAGATGTTCTTGAAAGAATAGGTTTCATTAGGGTAATAAATTTCCATCTGCAATATTGCAAGATAAGGATAATGACACCGAAAAACATTTTGGACACCCTTATGCAGTGTGAAAAAATTGATATTTTTTAACAAAAATGAGTCCTGGGGCAATTCTTTTAAGCATACTTAACGATATTCAGCGACAAAATTAAATCAAACAATTTTTTTAGCCATTTTTTTTCCAGAAAATTTTCTCAATTCTTTTGAAAATTGTTTTTTGAGAACAACACGAGAGAGGACGGACCCAGGCAGACGTTTTTGTCGCAAAATCGACTTTTCGGTGGAGCCACAAAACATTGTATCTGAACTACACAAACGTGTTAGATGTAATTTACTAAATATTGAAACAAGATTATCCACTTTTTTGTTACCAGGCCCGGGCAATAAGAAGCTTTTCTGTCAAAAAAATCGCCATTTTTCTGGCGGACATTTATAATACTTTCATTTAATGTTTAAAAACATTTCCCATATATAGTTAATATTGTACTGAGTTTTCGTTTCCTATGTAGTTGAGACAGATCAAAAACAAGTTAATATTTTTTTCATAATATTTTATTTAACTATTTCATTTGTTCAAATGTTTTAAGCTGCATGTTTGGCCTCATGCTTCAGCCCAAACCTGAATCCCATTAATATTTTTTCGACCTATCACCAATCCATCTTTTAGACGTATCATTAACCATATCTTAGACGTATTATAACATAATTCGTAAAATATGGATTGGTGATGTAACGAATTAAATGATTTGTGGAATTCATAGCATTCAGTGTTTGCCTGAAATGCGGTCCTAAGTGGGCTTTGAAACGTTGCACGAACTGAAAAAAGTCTTAATAAAAGATTTATTAAAAAATCATGACATTTTTGATTGTCTCAAACACACGCAGGAATCAAAAATCAATAAATAAATACTTCACGTTTCAATGCGAAGTAGGCGAGTAAGTAAGAATAGAGCCATTCTTCAGAACTATTTTTTTTTGTAAATTATATAACTTCAAGAAAAAATTACGGGGAAAAATGCTGTTTTTTAAAATATTCAATACTTTTTTAGAGAAATTTTTAAATAACAGGTAATGTAATTTAAGACAAAGTTTTATATCTTCTATATTTATAACTTTAAATCTTTAATTTTTTGTTTTAAAAGTACCTGTAGTTTTCGTCAAAAATGGGAAAAACTACTTTTTTGACATCTCCTTACACATACAGGAAAAAAATGAATAGTAAAAACGGTAGGGCCGTTTTTTGAAAACGTTTTTCTTCTTTATAATTGCATTAGTTTGAAGGAGAAATTAACGCAAAATTGCTAATTTTGTTCAAA